GCATGATGTAAAGCATAAATTAGGTGAATTAAAATCATGCTTTGATGGTTTGTCACCAATTCATGTAAATTTTTTCTTAAATATCATCTCAGAAAGGTCTTGGGCCATGGATATCAACTTCCAACTTTTTTCCTAGTGCTTTTTCCTTTGGAATTTTTTTTTTTCCTTTGGAATTTTAAATGTAGAACTAATGTAGTTTTTTGGGTTCTAGTTCTAATACATGGTGTCTCTGTTTTTTCTCTACAATTGTAGTTATCTATTTAACTTGTCTTTTTTGTGTTCATCCTCTGGTCAAGTGACCCTTAAAATAACTTGCTTTTGAAAGGAAAGCCTTTTGGGAAATAATTTTTATTCAACTTCTGTGGGGGCAGTTATTTCAGTGAATATAGGGACACTATATGCTTTGTTTTGATAGAAACTGGAAGTATATAAGTAAACAATAGAAATGAAAGGCCTTGTACCTAAAGATTTTCTTAGTCTAGCTGGATCATTCAGTATGGTGGACATTAACCAAGTATGGCTGTTTAAATTTAAATTTAAATTAAAGTTAAAATTATTCCTTTATATTATCTATATTCCAGGTATTAGGTAGTACAAATATTGTACATTTCATATCTTTGGAGTATTGCAGCCTGTGTGTGTGGATTTGGACAGTACTTCTATTGACATGTTGGTCTGTTTTCTAATGGCATTCCTTCTTATTTGGATTCATTTATATCTTGTCTTACCAGGCCTTGGGCCAGTTGATGGTTTGATTCAGGATATAAAATTTTCAGGGCAGTGTAAAATTTTCTAATTATTATAGAGTTTTTCCAAAAGACTTCCAAAAATTTCATCAAGTTTTTTCATTGCCTTAATGATTATGTTGCTATTTATGGGGGAAAATGGAGAGTAGATTTTAAAGATTATTTTTAAAAAATTATAGTGAAATATTCAAAAGATAAAATTTACCATTTTAGCCATTTTAAGTGTACAATTCAGTGGTATAAATTACTTTTACATTGTTGTGTAACTGTTAACACCATCCATCTCCAGAACATTTACTTATTGTAAAACTAAAGCTATACTCATTAAAGACGCCAAGCCCCCTATTTCCTTCTTACAATAGCAACCATGATTATGCTTTTTCTATTTGAATTTGACTACTCTAGGTACCTCATGTAAGTAGAATCATATATTATTTTTTCTTTCTTGTTGGTACTGGATTGGACCCAATGATGCTTTATTACTGAGCTATATCTCAAGTGAGACAGGGTCTCACTAAGTAGCTGAGCCTGGCCTTGAACTTGTACTCCTTCTGCCTTAGCCTCAGGAGTTGCTGGGATTACAGGTGTATGCCACCACGCTTGGCTAGTAGTTTTTATTTTGTGACAGGCTTTTCTCACCAAACATATCTGTTCATCCTTGCAGTGTGTGTCAGAATTTCCTTCCTTTACTTATGATGACTGAATAACATTCCATTGTGTGTATATGCCACATTTTGTTTATCCCTTCATCCATTGATGGACACTTGCTTCTACTTTTGGCTATTGTGATTAATGTTACTGTGAACATGCTTGTATAGATGTCTCTTGGAGTCCCAGCTTCCAGTTCTTTCGGGTATATATGCTCAGAAGTGAAATTGCTAGATCATATGGTAATTGTCTTTGTTTTTTGGAACTGCCTGTTTTTCAGATCTTATAGAATTTTAAGTTATGTTGAATTTAAAAACCAACTTAATTCATAGGATGTTGTAGACTTCAGATTCCCTGTCCTGTATTTCCCTAGCTTGCATTATGATACTAGGATATTACCAGAGTGTCTTTTGCTTGTACAGGTGAAACACAAGAGAGAAGGCTTATTTTTCTTTATTGGAAATTTATACTTCTGCTGAAGGAGATAATTTTGTAGTGTTCAGCTTGCAGAAGCCCTTTAAAGTACTGTCTTAATTTTTATTCTCTAGTAGAGTTTTCAAAATGAAAATATTAGTAAACAATTATTTTTTCCTCTTTTGGTTAGTTTTCTTTTAGCAGGGTTTACATTATTTTTTCTCAAGCCCTGTTTAGTCAGCTTTTTCACTGCTGTGACTAAAGGATATGACCCAAACAACTATAGAGGAGGAAAAGTTTATTTGAAGGCTCTTGGTTTCAGAGGTCTTAGTCCATTTAATGCTGGCTCCATTCCTTAGGCTTGAGGTGAGGCTGAACATCATGGTGGAGTTTTTGGCAGAGGGAAGCAGCTCACATCATGGTGATCAAGAAGTAGAGAGAGAGACTCCACTTGCCAGATATAAATGTATATCTCAAAACCCTAATTCCCACCTCCTCCAGCCACATCCTACCACTTCAGTTGCCACTTAGTCAATCCCTATCAGGGTTTTAACTCACTGGTTGGATTAAGACTTTCACAACCCAGTCACTTCTTTGAACCTTCTTGCACTGGCTTACACATGAGCTTTTTGTCCCCTAAACTCACATCCAAACCATAACAAGCCCATGTAAGTATTCAGTCTTTTAAAACATACATTTTATAATTTGAATGTCTCATTTCACATTTTTATCAGTTTGAAAAATTTGATTCTTCAACATTGTGTTAACATGTACTTAATATGTACGATAAAATTTCATCTGGGGTCGGACATGGTAGTACAGGCCTGTAATCTTAGCTATTGGGTGGGGAGCTGAGGTAGTATCAAAAGTTTAAGGCTAGCCTGGGCAATTTAGTGAGACACCCTGTCTTAAAATAAAAAATTAAAAAAGGGCTGAGGATGTAGCTTTGTGACAGTGTTCCTTGGGCTTATTCTCCAGTACAAGAAAAAAAAAATCATCTTGTTTATATGATTTGTTAATAAAACTTGCTCAGGTAGACAGGAGATTAAAGAAAGAAATAACATCTTCTGTGAATTGGCTTTCAGGAAGCCCTCACCCCAGGCACCTGTTTGCTTCAGATGAAATGGTTTCCAGCTTGGCATTTTCTTTTCTTTATTTTCCCCTTTTCTTTTTGTTGTTGATACTGAGGATTGAACCCAAGGGCGCTTTACCACAGAATTACATCCCCAGCCCTTTTAAAATTTTGAGACCTGGTCCTACTAAGTTGCTTAGGGCCCTTCTAAGTTCTGAGGCTGATGTTGAACTTGTGATCACCTACCTTAGCCTCTAAAATTGCTGGGATTATAGGCATGTGCCACTGCACCTGGCTGGCATTTTCTACTTTTAGGGCAGGGCTGCCCTAGTATCATTAATAAAATCCTCAGCAAAATGGTTATCAGGGAATGCATGCTTAGTTACTTCCAACTGGAGTGGATTTTATGGATCCAGATTTATCCTTTTTTTTTTTTAAACATTTACTTTTTAGTTGTACACAATACCTTTATTTTGTTTATTTATTTAAATATTTATTGTAAATGGACACAAAACAATGCCCTTATTTTTATGTGGTGCTGAGGAGTGAACCCGGTCCCACCCAAGCCAGGGACGGAGCCAGCGAGCGCTCTACTGCTGAGCCACAATCCCAGCCCTTGTTTATTTATTTTTATGTGGTATGGAGGATCGAACCCCGGGCCATGCACATGCTAGGCGAGCGCTGTACTGCCTAGCCACAACCCCAGCCCCCAGATTTATCCTTTTTTTTTTAGGGACATTCTTAGGTTAATTCACATACATAGGTGATTGAAGATTTTAAATTTGGATAGGGCTTCTTTAAACTTGTCATGAAATTTTTGGACAAGATATTGTACTACCATTTCATGTGTGACTGACAGCTATAAATTCATTTGACAGAGGTCATTGTGTTGTTCAAGAAGCTTTGGGATTTCATCAGAAACTAGGGATACCATGGTGTACAGTGCTGTCATTTGGTCTTATTAATTCCTTCCTTTGAGATCAGGATAGGATAGTGCATATGGGCCTGTAGTCTTTGGAACATTTGAAGAGTGTTTTTAGTTATTTCCTCTGGAATTTGAGTGGCCATGATTTGTCTCAAATTTGTAAATTTCTCATAAAGGATTGTATATAAAGCCTTAAGATAGTTGGCCAGGGTTGGGCGTATGGCTCAGTGGTAGAGCACTTGTGTAGAATGGGTTTGATCTACAACGTGGCAAAAAAAAAAAGTGGAGGGGATATATGATAAGCTTTCACATTTTTTTCTGTTTCTAAATTAGAGTTGTTTTTTCTTCACCTGTCTCATGAAAATGATATTTTCTTTATTTGTGAAATTCATTTTCTAGCTCTATATCACATTGTTGCAGGGCAGGTATCTAAAATGTTGCTTTATTGATGGATAGTTTTTCTTTATGTGATTTTTTTTCTTTCTTGCAACATCACATTTATTTCAGATATAACAACAATGTTAAAATTGACAAGTTTAATTCTTAACCTCACCATTATGAGTTTTTAAATTCAGCACTATGAGATACTGTTCCTCCTTCCCTGTAAACTTTCCTCAATATACTATAAATCTTTGAAAATCTTCTTTTAATAAATATATCATTCACTGATTGATATGCTTAAAACTGTAGCAACTTGACACTTTTATGTTACTTTTCAAGTCTCATTGAAATTATCTGTATTTTCAGAATCTCATTTTCTGTTTTCCAGAGCTCTTCTGTTTTCCATGAAGTAATTCTGATTAATTGAAGGAGTTTTTGTGTAGGATTAAATAGCAGCCCAAATCTGCTTCTAATTCTTGGCAGCTAATGACTTCTTGTGTGTGCTTGCATTGTTGAGGACTATGCAGTGATTTTGGTTGATTTGGCAGTTTTAGAATTGTTAGTGTAGAAGTGAGTCTTGGAGCAACAGTGCACTGTTAAAAAAAGAAAGGGGCAAGTACTTTTCAGATCTGCTGTAAAGTACTTGGAGCATGTTAGTGAAAGGGTTTCTGGGCCATAGCCTGCCTGCCCATATTTATCACATAGTCATGGAAATATCTTTGAAAAAACTGATATAAAGGCCTGTTCTGCTACTACTTTGTGAAATGGAAGATTGGAATTAGATACTTAAATGGAAAATGTTCTCTTGTTGCAGCCTCTTTGAAATGTGCTGCTAGTGGGAGCTGCAGCTTCCTCCTGCTGACTCGGAGCCCCAGGCTTCGGTTGAGATGGTCCTTTCAGAAATGTGGAGCTTAGTCCAAGCCTGGATTTCAGTGGGTAGCACCTGGCATCTGTGGCTAGAAAGTCCTATGAAGTGTAAGTGCTTTATTCTCTCCTTGAAAAAAAATCCCTTTTTCTTTTTTGATTCTCTTCCTTCTTTTCCTTTCTGTGGCTTAGCAGAGGGGAAGAATGATGAGCAATGTACTATAGTGTCAAGGGTATC